ATGACATCAGAGGAATTTTACATCTTTTCCTCCATGATGCTTCTAAGAATGACATTGTGCTATGAATCTACCTCTTTTCATTACTTCCCTCCCTTCATTATAGTGTCTAATCAGTTGTCTAAGATTTGCAAAAGGAGACAGAAAAGGAATTCTTAAACTCAGAAGGCAGGTAGCCAGATACTATGACTAGCACAGCATTAAAAGTCTCGGTCCTACAGTGTGACAGGCTTAAGGAGTAGTGTTGTAGGACTCAGAATGGTGCCTCAAGTTCTAAAACACTGCTGTGAAGATTCAGAAAGCTGTAGCTTTTAATTAAATCCAAATAAAGTACAAGTAGAGAACCTACTCCGCCTGCCCATCCTGTTTGACTCTCTTCTATGTGCTGTTGATTCTGAAAAAGAAAATCAAATGTACACTCTTTTAGAAGTTGAAGAATGAAGTTATGGAGATTCAAAATCTTCAAACAGAAAATCTGTAGCTTCCTGTAAAAGAGAATTTTAGAATCCTTGCTATGAAGGACCAGGGACTTGAAGGTTGTCTGAGGTAAACAGTATTACTGTATTTATACCATTATTTTAGTTAAAGTATTGTTTCTTAACAGCTGTCATCAGAGCTAAATAAAATCTAAAGCAATTTTTTAACCTTATGCAATATTTTCATTGAAAGCAAGGATTAACAGCTACATAATCTCATTAATTTTTCAGTAAAGGTCCAAGTAAATAAATTTCAGGAATAATAATATTAAAAAACTGTGTTGGATTCCCAGCTAGTTCATTTGATATATTTCCTTTCATTTCAAAGCTTGATATTAATTTATAACAGTGGATAATGTGACTGCTAGGTACATCTTTTAGATGTAAATCTTAAAAGTGTTAAAAATACAAGCCAAATACTTTAACTAATTGAGGTACATAGAAATCAAGGGTCTCCTCCTTTGGTGCTCAGATTAGAGATATCAGAGGGCCCGATTTTCAATTAAAAAAAGAATAATATTACAAATAACATATCTAGAAAGAAGCATTAAAGACTGGCAAAGTTAAAGTAGGCAGCAAAATTTGCCCAGATTATCATATCCGTAGACTATGAATATAATTTTAGCAGGTCTTGACTTCTTGTAACGTTCCTAAAGCTGATTTTTGAAAAAAAGACTTATACTGAGCATAAATGGATCAGTACCTCCTGCAGCTAAAGCTGCTTTTACATTTTAACTTGTTTTACAAATAAAAAAATGTTTTATTGTTTTTTGCCTTTTTTTTTATTTTACAAAGAAAACAAAGTTTCTAGTGTCTTTTCAACACTTTCCTAAGACTTTCATTGAACAGTGTAATATCCTGCTTGTTAGACAGAGAAAGTAATTTAATATTTAACAATTTTGCATTCAAACAATGTATTTCTTTTTTTATCTTGTAAACTTCTCTTTATACTGTTCATATAATACAGTATTTCCTCACAGTCTGAAATAAATACAACAAATTTGCTTTCTAAAGAATATGGTTTGCATTTGTTATCCTCTATGATTCATTAGAATACAGAATCATGCTTTCTCCTTTTCAGCCTGGTCCCTGAAAAATGACTTACCTAAGAAAAAGTTGCAAGAAAAGGTACGTGCCCCTTAGAAGACTGTTTAGTACTTTGCAAGGGCTCCACTGAGATACTAATTCAGAAGATGGGGTTTATTTTTTTTTAAGATAAGAAAAAAATGAGATGCATTGTTTTATATCTGCATCCTAAATTTATTTTCCTTTCTTAAATTAAGGCTCAGATATTGATGACAAAATACATTAAGGATATATACAAGTTCTCTCATATGAGTAGTCCCATTGACTCCTATGGGATTTTTCCATGTATTAAAGTATTTACAGAATTTAGGGAACTGGCATCTTTATAGGAAATTCCAATTTCACAAACACATGCCTAGCTTTTACTCACATGAATAGTTCCACTGAAGTCATACTGGTATCTATGGTTTATTCACATGAACAAGACTTGAACACATGAACACTTTGACACTTTAGGAACTTCTTGTAGATTATATTTTCAAGTACATAAAGCCTAGCACATTTATTGTACATTAGATTCTTGATTTAATCTGAAATCAACAAGAGAACTATTTTTGCCAATGGAAACGTACGGAGATACACTTTCTAACTGCAAATAGAGCTAATGCAGCACTCCCATCTGTTCACACTCCTTCAATTGGCCATTTGTGCAAACTTTAATGTGATAAAAGCATTGTATCACTGTATAAATACAGAATTATAGAAACGTCAGTAGTGACTCCATAAATAAGGTTTCATGTAGAAATGCAATTAAACAAGGACCATGAACACTGTCGTGCAAGATGTTAAATGTTCTGGTCTGGTTCCAGCAAAGCAATTAAGCACATGCTTAATTTTTAAAAACATAAATAGGCCTACTGAAGTAAATAAAACTGCTTATGTGCTTAAAGTTAAGCTTGTGCTAAAGTGCTTTAGTGGATTGTGGTAGAATGCTAGAACCCTTGATTGATTTTTTTTTTTTTCTGTGCATTAAAATATTTAGTTACTAAAATATAGTTTACCTGGAGGTGAGACAGAGATGCAGTGTTAATGTACTTATTACACAATTACTTATGAAACACATAAAATGCTGCAGTAAATATGCATTTTCTCTTAATAAGATACATCCTTGGAAAGCACTTCAGTGATAATGTTTATGAAAGAAGAGGACTTCAACATCTCTTAGAATTTGCAGCAATTGTCATATAATAGAGGACTAAAAATTATTTTCATGTTGGAAAGGCTGTATCAATAAACTCTGAATTTACAATTTATCAGTTATACAGAACATTTTTATAAGTATTCTTGCCTTTTATTTCCCATCAGTTCCCCTTAGGTCTCAGTCTAATGGTAGTTTTTATAAGTTTTCTGTACTATAAAACTCTAAAAACAAGACATGCAAACACCGTGTACACTAAAAGACAGTAAATGAGACTTGTGTACTAGAGCTACTGAGATTACTGAAATTCAGGGTTACCCTTTCCTACAGGATCTATATGAATTTAATCATGTCTACAGTTGCCATGCTTCACAATTCTTTTTAAGGAAATACTTTTTTTTCAGAAATGCTTTTGTATGTAAGATCTGTAAGTATTTATATGTAGGTATAGATAGCTAGGCCATCTAAGCTATCCTTTTGCTCAACAGAGCATGGTTTTCCCTCCAAACTATCTTAATGATAGAATGACGTATTTAAACAAAATTTATATTTCCAATTTTATTACCTCTGGACAGTCCCAAGTATTTGAATTTTCTTTGAAGTCACAAATAGCTAAGACAGAAAAATTCTGGACTCTCTTTAGCCACTGCACACAGATTCGAGTATCTGTTACCCAAGTAAGCCAAGTAAAATAGTGGTCACTAAAAAATAAAATAAAAAAGAAAGAAATGGTGGTTATTAAAGAACACACATATAGAAATATTGCTACAGATTGTATCCCCCATATTGCTCTGTGGAAGACAACAGCAAAGCTTCCACTGCCCTAAGGATTTTTTTTGGTCCTTTTTAACAAAGGCAAAATCAAAATACATTTTTAGCTAGCTTCTGATCCCTCTAGGAGATGAATATGGCATTCCACTGTTAGAAGCAGAAAACAACTCAGAAGTTCAAGCATTTAAAACAATTAGACAAAACCTTTTTTTAAAAAAGAGGAGAGATTTGAGGGCACACTACCTGGATGCTATGACTGCAGGAACTGGCACCTCCTTAGGACCAAATACTTCAGTGCTAACAGTGTCTACAATAAACACTTTAACAGTAGGATTTTTAGCCCCAGCCTTCCAAAAAAAAAAAAAAAATAAAATACCAGGTTATTCAAATCAGGCTCTGAACAATTCAGATTGCGGAAAATTGCAACACTTTTTTGCAGGAAAGGAGATAGGTTAGAAAATACGTATTTGGTTGACTACAACAAATGTGATCTTAAAACAAGATCTCAGTGACCCTACAGCACTAGTTACTTAACTTTGCATCATTTCATATATAAAACCCAAAACCTTTAAACAGTCAAATTTAGTGCCTTTCTATACAGAAAATGTGCTTGATAGGAACCAGCTTTCGATTTACAGCATAGATCTTTGCAGCACACACTACACTAACTGTAGCATAAAACTCCAGGCATATATTCACATGATTGCAAGTGCTCTTTGTAATCCCAGCTGTGAAATTTGATGGTTTAGCTTAAACTGTTTTCATGCTTGCTTATTCATTAAAAACATTATTTTACATTAATAAAAAACATTATCAGTTTTTTAATTCTTTCCATGTGTGGTCTAAATCATCCAGCTTTATTTTAGAAATGTAACCCAGCCAACAGGTGAGTAATCTCTTAAAATACATTAATGTGATCGCTTGCAACATATGAACATAAGAGTCAGGAGAGCTCTCTAATACATGCTGAAGAAATGCCAACCCAAAACCTTCTTGCCTTAGATATGGCACTTGAAAGCAGTTAAAATCAAAGCCCCTTGAGATCAAAAAAGCACTATGAGGTGTGCAAATAAACTGAAGTTGTTATAGCCTTTATTTTTCAAAATAAAAAAGTATCAAAATTTACTGAAATAAAAAATAACAGCTGCATAGTTGCTACATCACAATATATAAACTGAATTGAAAAAAAAAAAATGTTTGATCATGCACTTCTGTACATGCTTTTTACTTACATGAGTAATTCCATTAAGTTACTGATATCACGAAACACCTACAGTTTTGAATGTAAATATACCTTCTCAGAATTTTGCCTAAATTTGTTTCCTTTCATTAATTTAGGCCACAATGGATTTAACTACTGCAATACAACAACATTTTAAGCACAGTGAATTTTATCATTGTCATAACTAATTTATTAACAGAAAGTTAAGTCAAAACAATGGGAAAACATACCTTTGGGTATGGGATAATTATTTTTCTAGGATACTGGTCCTCACCAAAATATGAATATTCAATAACTGGTATGTCAGAATCATTAAATCGTACATATGCTAGATATTTTCCACTTGGAGACCACCACAGTGCATATCTTGTTGCTAGCATTTCCTCTGAGGAACAACAACAAAAAAATAATTCATAATAGTTTATCACTGTAATCTATATATATTCTAATCTATTTTAGCATTCTACTCTTAGCAGCCTAGACATGTAAAGAGAGTCTATATACTAAATAAATAACACTTAACATATTGCAATAAATCTCAAATTTGAAAGGTTTTAAGAACTCTCAAAACAGACACACAGATCTCAGTTGACTTACTTGAGTTTTTCCTGTGTGCATGTTGGACTTTTCAAAAATTTTTTTAATGTGCCAAAGTGCCAAATTTTCACCCAGATAAAAGCTTCCATTAATGCTTAATTCCCAACCACTGCCTGTGCAACAGAGGAAGCCAAATTTGTAAAGTTTTGATAAAGTTTCAGTAACAAAAGCCTTGTGATTTTGGTTACACATTATGAATACAAAATCCACAGCAAATATAATACAGAAATGAAAACATACTTAGGGCTCTAAAAATAATTACCAACAGAGATATTTCAGATTGGATTGTGAGAACCACGTAATCTAAACATGTCAGTTGTTGCCCTTTGAGATTTACTTACCTTCATAGACCCAGTCAGGAATCCCATTAAATATTTCATTTGGTTTTCCATCATTAGTTATTTTAATTGATGCCTCTCTTGGACTTTGTTTCAAATAGATATTATTCTGATATACATATACCTAAAGACAAGGAAGTATTACTTATGAGTATAGGCACTAATAACAGGGGCTAGAGTAAGGTTTTCTGCACTCAAAGCTTTTATGTTACATCAGCAGTAAGACATAATGAACACAACAAACATATAAATAAACAAACTAACATATAAATAAATAAATGCTACACTAAACCCTTAGCAAATTCTGCAAGGTACCTCAGTAAATAAATTATACATTGCAGGCCAAATTCTGTCTTCAACTATGTCAGAATAAATCCTGAACTTATCTGATTTTAATAAACTTCAGAGGATTCTGGGGATAGCTCTGGTGTGGAAAATAATGGAAAAAACAAATCTTTGAAACTCATCTAAATTACTGTTTTTTCTTTTAAGAAATCCTCAGACGAAGTGTTTTGTGACTTTTCCTTCTGGTTTCACTGAAAGTAGAAGATAGAAACAAATACACAACAACTAAAAAGAAAATCATTGGACTTTTCTAAACCTGTCAAAAGTCCTAGGTGATGTGAGATGAGACTAAAAAAAAAAAGCTTTTACTCTGTCTGGACTAGCTTATCCCTTCCTAGTAAACTAGTTATCAAAAAGAGTTCTTGCAAGAAATGCTTGCAGGCCTTGGGTATCTAAATTTCCAACTAAATGAATGGATGTGGTTAAGAAACCAGAACCAGAAACGTTGCTTTCTTAGAAAATCATGCCTTTTGAAGCTATAAGCATATGTTAACATTAGCATAACATTTTGACTATTCTGTGTTTTAAATGAGAAACAAAGAAACTCCTAAAGCTTTTATTGTATAAAAAGACATCACAGACTGTTAGTACTAGGAAGGTAGGAAATTATCTTCATTGTGTTCTGTCTTCAGAATTCTTCGTAAAGGCATTAACCGTATTTAATTTAATTGAGAGAAATAATACTCTCCAAGAATATGGATAAATATAATCACTGAGAAAGACATACTTGGCTATTAAAAAAAAAGAAAATAACTTTTTTTTCTTGTAATAAGAACCTGGTAACCATTTCCTAGAGTAAAAATTTCAGAAGAGATTTTAAATACTTCATCTCTAAATCTCTGTTGTAAACTCACGTGTTATACAGTGTCAAAGGAAAACACTGGTTTTCAGGCCTTGAAACGACATTTGATCTTACACAATTCTGCTGGTCAATTCTACAAGAGACTGCCTAGTGTACTGAAACATAATATAGCTTGAACATGGAGTCTTCTATTGAGACACAAACAAGTTAAATTTTAACAAGATAAAGCTGTTTTCTTTGTTCTTGCTCACAATCAAGGTTAATATACACAGGCCTGTCAAAATACGGCCTAACAAATAATAACCAAAGGCAAATAAATGTCTTCTAGCCACACAAAGCAAAATCATTCTAGTGCTTTGTTATCTTTACTGACCAATTTGTGTCCAACAGGTGACCAGGATATATACTGAATTTTATGTGGAAGCTGATTTTCTGCTACAAAACCACTGAAAAAAGGAAAGAAGTTGAGATGGCTTTTTGCAGACAGTGCAAGTGAATCATTATACTGTACATTCAGATAAAACCGATGAAGGGCTGTGTTTTCTAACAGCTTATTGGTTTTTGAGCAATGCAAAATTAAGGCAGGCAGTGATACATGCAGTAATGTGATGGTGTGCACCAGTTCTGGTTAAGGCTTGAAACTCAAACCTTTGAAAACATATTCAACAGCTTAACAAGCCCACCTTCTCTCTAATTACTGCACAAGCACCTACAGTCATTTGTTCTGTCTGCAGTCTGTTACAGTCTCAGCAAGTTATTGGGAAATGTCAGCTCAGGATCTAGCATGCTGAGGCAAGCGTTGCAGCAGCAGTCACAACTTTTGTTAAGGATCATGACCCACATGCAGTACCCTCTCCACTCATGTTAGTTTGCCGCGATCTTTTCCTGTCACCTTGAGGAACAGTTTCCCAAGAATGAAGCAGCTCGGCGTAGCCCTTGTTGCTCAGAACTAAGAAGCATTTAGTAACGTTGCTACTTACGCCTTAAAAAGGTGAATGGGGAGGCAGATGGCCTCCTGCAAACTTGAGTGGAAAGAGAAGTGGTTTGGGGAAGATATTGGGAAAGAGACCATGTGTCACAGGTGAAGCTGTGAACTTTTGAGGAAACCAGGACAGACTATTACAAGGTCATTTGGGCTTCAAAGGACATGTGAGAGTTTTACAAAAGTTAAAGATCAGATCAACCATCAAAAGGATGAATTAGACAGCAGAAGCACATGAAAACATAAGGTGTGAGACTGAGGTTGACCCAAGCAGTCAAGATAGGGCAGAAGAAATTATGCAAAGAAAAAAAAAAAAAAAGATGAGAAACCTGAGCAGTGACAGTTTTAGGGCATGAAATACAAATCTATCCAGATATGTGGATGCATAGATGAAAGAATGGTATGATTTTCTTACAGTCCATTTTTCTCAGGCAAACAGGTAAACTGATAGATTCAGGCAAAAGCAAAACAAGGTGGTAGTCACATTACTACAAAGTTTTTCAGTAGAACTGCTTGCAAGCACATCACTACAGAATATTCACCACAGCTCTCTGGAAGAAATATCATGCCTTACCCATATATGAGATCATAAATGTGGTATGATGCTGTATAAGAGTACCTCCACAGCTGCAAAAATTAAGCAAGCAAATAATATTACTAACTTGGAAAAAGATAATCTAATGAAAAATAATCATCTGCTTTTTAAAAGCCTAACCCTTTCTCAAGAAAGTACCAAGAAACTTTTATCTGTGGCAACTACAACCAACAACATACTAAATGAAACCAAGCATTTCATTAAGTGATATATTAAAATAATTAATTACCTTTGAGTAATTGCTTTCCAGAGCTATGAAATATTTGTCTGAGGACAACACATAATTTGAAGCATTAACTTGTTTCTGAAAGATTAAGAAGTTGATTAGATTCTAGTAAAAAAACTTAAAGGATTTGATGAGTCAGGTTTTAATCCACTCACATTTAAACTGGTACTTTAAACACAACTGCATTTTGCTGCCTTTTTATGAACTGAAAAGGTACGTACCATTGTGCTGTTAGTCATGATGATAGTTAGGTAGTTCATTTCAACATTGTAAAGAACAATATCATCTTCTGCAGACTGATGAAGATATTCATTATCTTATAAACAAGACAAAAGGGCTGTTACTTGCACAGAAGATAGAAGATACTCTTTATCAAACTACTTGCTGTTTGATAAACTCACTGTTTATCAAACTACTCACACTTCCTTCAAAAAAATTGATTTTGAGCAGATACCTTTTGGCATCTACATAAAAAATGTTTTTCTTCTAATGACGCCAAGTTACAGAATTATCAACAAACTGTCTTCAGGGTTTTTCAGTACATTCTCAAGATCACACACTGTACATAGAATTGGCTAGTTAAGTTTACAGTTAAATGCCAGACTTTATTCTCAGTAATATCTGATCAGGAATACCAGGCACTTATCCATTAGAAGGTCAGTAACACAGTGTATATGTTTTAAAGAAAATATCTGAGATCTTTGATAATAATTTCACCAGAACATTCTTTCTTGTATGGATTCTGCAGATAACAGCAGCATGTAACTGATACTGCCCTTACTCACACAGGTCCTACAAAGTGAGGGTGAGTGGCCCTCAGTAAGAATGGAATTTAACCTTACCTGTTAGGGTTTACAGGTAGACTCAAGACCTGAGCCACAGTTTGGCAGAGAATGAAGTTCAGATTTTTAGTTTAACATCATTATTTTCTCTGCTATAAACAGAGAGAAGGAATGACATACTTGGTGTAGCTAAAGAGAGAGACTTTGAAGGCTTAAAAGCAGCCTGAAACATTGTATAAGGTGTTTCCTTTTTTAGGAAATCAGATCACCCATGGATCCTTTGAGCACACTTCTGTGATTTGTGTAACAGAGTTTGTGGTGATCTCAGGTGCCCTTAGGAAGAGATACTCAATTTTAACTACTTGCTTCAGAAGAAAAGTAGACATATGGAATGCTGTAGGCATGACTATCTATGGAATCTATGGCATGACTTCTGCGTGAGCTTTCTGACGGTTAAGAGGAAAGATAAGTCTAAGTGAGAAGGATATAAAGAGGGAAGGAGAATATTAGGTTTATGTGATATGATGCCAACATACTTCAGATATTCAGACAGAATTCTAACAAATGGCGACCTAATTTTTAAATCATACAAGTGATGTCAACATACGTCAAACTGTTAATTGTAAAACTTTAACTGCTGCTAGTAATGTCCTGGAAGGCTTCAGTTCAGTTCTTAAATTGTGGATTAAAACCTGCTTGGTAAGCCTCCATGTGAAAGGGCACCATGTTTATTGTCTAGTCAGAGAACAATAACTGCTTGAGGCAGTGCATATGTAGGAGTGGTAGTAGTGTGTGTACTAGAATGAAATCCAACCTAGCTCAAGCCTTTTGGTACTGCTGCAATGATAACAAGACTGATATTTCTGCCTCATGCACACACATATCAGCAGCAATTAACTTAATGTCTTTATCTTCTAACTTAAGGAACCTGGGAACAACTTTGTTTTCTATGCAATGCATTGGATCTCAGGAATTTCAGCAGTGTCAGCATTCCCTTAAATGAGGTAAGAACAGCAGGGCTCATTGCAGAGCTACCCACAACATAAAAGAAGAACAGGGCCTGTAAGGCAGGCTACCTTAGTTACTACAAATGGTAAGTGAAGAAATGCTGTGACACACAAAACCCCAGATTGCTTAAGAAAATACTGATATTGATATATTTCTTTTACTTGCTGCAATGAATATGCCAGCAGAAGAAATAAAACACTGAAGGCCTTTATAAAATTATAGTTTATACTTGAGGCAAACATGTCTGTTTAAACATCAAATACCTGGAATGCCTAGAATAGAGTGACAGGGTAGCAAATTTCAACCGTAAGTTTTGACTAGGAGGTTAATTTCACGTTAGCATTCATTCACAGTAAAGCTGGAAGGAAAATACATTTCAGAGTCTGTATAAACAAGTCCAGAAATATACATTATAAGCATTTATTTATGTTTGGGAAAAGGTTACACTTACCTGACACCCAATATGGAAAAAACGTTTTGTATTGGAAGTTTCCATTCAAATAGTCCTCCAGTGTAAGAGCTCTGGGACCATCATCTGTGTTGATAACTAAGAATAAGGCAGAAAGTTTCTATTAATTCAATGCTGTGAAGTGGGGAAAAAAATCCCAAAACCAAACCAACAAGTAGTCAGTAGTAAATTTTTTTTCTATTTTTAGCACCATTGACACAGAGGAAGAGCATAATCCTGGAGGTATGAAGAGAGTAGGGACAGCATACAGGAAAGTTCTCTGTTACTGTTCTGATAAGGTCCTTTAGCCTCTGAAGGACTCACCTTTAGGAATACAAAATTACAAACCAAAGAAACTAGTTTATTCCACCCAGTCATTTATTCACTCAGACATGTTTGCTTGTAGACCCTGTGAGTCCAAGAAAAGCTTTTTCTACACAAAAGACAAATCAAAGTTTTTTTAAAGAATGGATTTCATGCACTTGCGTGGTACACAGAGACAACTACTTTCATCTGGACCTGCACATATTCAGTAGAGTCAAACAACAGGATGTGCATACAAACCCCTACTGCCAAGTTTCATAAATGCCTCATCAACCAGTGTTAGAAGATAGATATAAGGCTTGCAAAACAAATACCATCCATATATATTTCTTAGTAGCTAGATGAAAAAAATAGATGAAGCATGCAGGTAAAAATAATGCTGAAAAGTAATGAATGAGTGAATGTGAATGTCAACTTTTTATTTAATGCTTAACAAGAAAACTGGCAATGATTCTGGAGACAAGACTCTAATATTTGATATCTAAGCAGATTAGATAGCCACATAAAAATAATGCACAAAATCGTAGCTGCTTTTGTGGCTCTTCTCTATGTTTCTTTCCAAAGCTAAACACCTTAAGTGAGGGTAGATTTTAAAAACAAAATTTAAGAGCAATCAACTGGATGAGAAGAGGGTAATACTGAAAATACTGACTTGCTAAGTGCACGGAAATGAAAAAATCCGATATGAAATGGGGGCAAGCAAAAAAGAAAAACTATGCAGTTCACAAGAGAAAGAATAATCAAAATATTTAATCCTCAAAAGACACGGGAACATCTCTGATAAAGGCCTGTTCTTAAAGTACCATAATAAATGGCAGCTTTTAAGTCTAGGCATTCTGGATTCTATGCTTTTCTCCTCAAGTCAAAGAGACTTCTGCCATAGTCTTCAGAGGTAGCAGGGATGTCACACAGCAGTCTAGTACATATCTGCCACTTCCCCTGTTCCTTCAGAGTTCTCAGATGACAGCCCAATAATCAAGATGACTCATTGCCCTCAGGTTTCATATCATGCTCCATCACTTCCTCATTACAACTGCCCTCTCTGTTAAGATCACACTGACTTCCCAAGAAATGTTTTTTCATCATATTCTTTTCTATGGTACTTTGTAATGATAATACATGTGTTCTTCTGCTAAGTGACTATTACTTACTGTAGAATACACATGTCAGGTTGACTTGACACTAGCTTTGTGTGCACTAATGCAGAAGAAAGCTGTCATAAGAAATAAACCTGAATGCCAGTCCATAGAAAAAAAAAACTTACCAGTATAAACTCTGATCTAGCAATATGCTCAGAAAATTCCCAAGAATATATTCAGAAACTTCCTATGTTCAATAAGAAGTTAATACATCTTGCTAATACCATGACTGTATATTAGAGATCTTCGATATGTTAATCATAAACACAGAAGACGGTAAACTCTTAAAAAAAATGCATAGAAAATAATCCCAAAGAAGAATCCACTTCTATTACTATTGAGTGATGATCACTTATCACTAACTTTTGGTTTAAGTTCTCTAAGTGAATAAGTTTATTATCAAAAGAAATCCACCGGTAAGATCTATTTCCATGGTTGTTTCTATAGGAGGCTTAAATCTGCACTCCTATTTTGATACTTTAATCTGGTATAATTTCCTGGTTCCTTCTCCCAGATTAAGAGGATTTTTTACCAAAAAGACAAACAATATCACCAATGTCACATCTCTGGTTTAATTTTCACAGCTTTAATTTATACATTTATTCTGTTAACCATCTCACCCTTACATCTTAATGTTCTGTGATGATTTATTATGACTGCTAAGGATTTTCAAAATGTGTCAACTCCTATCTGAATTTCTACCAGTGGACTGCAAAAAAAACATGAACACAACTGTATCTTACTTGATTACGTACTATTTTGAATGCTTGCTTCTAGGCAACCGAAGATATATTTAAATGTTTTACTTAAAAGCATCATCTTTAATTGTTCACTATAATTGTTGCAGATTCTTTCCTCCGTAGCTAAAGACTGGGTTCAGTAATAGTATTTGAAATCTCTGATCACAGAACCAACCCTAACATGAAGAGTACTTTACACTTCAAAGTGTCTGCAGCACTATATAGACATTGATTTGGATGGCTGTTGGTAGGCTTGGTAAATTCTTTTGTTGTGTTTGGTTTCTCTACGAAACAAAAAGGATGAAAAAAGATGCTCACTGGCAAAAAGGAAGTAAATAGAGACAACCATGGAAATAAAAGCTTATCAAATTTCAGCTTTGCTCTTTTTCCTTCACCAACTCACTGTTTCAGTTTTAATCCTTTTTGGTCCATTTGCATTCACTGCCAGAGTGCAGCTCTGTATTTCTCTGTGCACTGAACTGGTTATTTGCTTCACAATGTAACTTCATCTATCTGTTCCATAATCATGATTAGTCATGCATTTGAGTAATTATGGCATATATACATAAACATATATACATATACATATATATATATAGTGGTGGTGATATAAGCCTACACGCATCTATTAATTGTCACTGGCTTTACACGGATACCTTCTCCTTTATTCTTCAGTTCACTCTTACGACAGAAATTAACAAAAGCAGAAATTCCTATTATATTAATCTCAAATTTATACACACCAATCCATCACTGTGAAATTCTGTTTGTAATATCAGCATTATCCCTTTCAAAGACTGGATGTGGGTAGACTGACAGAACCCTTGCTTAGGATTTCAAAGAATATGACTATTCCACAACATAGTCTAATGTACATCCATATAAATTGTGTCTACTCCTGCCAAATTAAAGCAAGCATATATAACAATCAGGAAGTATTCTTGTTTCTGTAATGTTATTTCTATATATGTGGTTTTAGATATGTATTTTATATATATTTAATATATACATATTTTTGTATTAATATTATTTAGCTTCCACTGCTACACAGCAAGCAGATGACTTGCCAAAATAAAACTAGTTAGAATGGTATTATGTTCTGCTTCTGCACTACAATGTCCACACTCATCTCTGTGGGCTGATGCTAAAGCACAAGGCCTTCAATATGCCCAGGAAGACAGCCTTCCACTTGAGGAAACCATAGCCCAGTTCAGGATCAGTAATTATTTGCAGCACTCCTGATATTGCTCCAAAACTTCTGGTCACACTCAGCTCCACATCAGCTGAGTCTGATTTTCCACACCTGCATTGCATTCAGTCATTTTTTGTGAGGTGTGCCACTGCTTTCTCATTGAAATTTAATTCAAAAACACCCTTTGGAATGAGAAGACGACGTCTGAGCAAGTCATGTGCCGCACGATGATCCACTTCTTATTACTGGTAGGAACAGAAACTGTCTACAGAAAGCTAGAGCATGCTAGAATGAGAATGGTTTGGTTTACTGCTGGCTCTAACATTTCTACTGCCTAAAAGTCCAGGAAAGGAAAAAGGCCTCTCTCTAACTATACACTGAGAAAGAATCATTACAATTCCCTTCAGTTATTGAAAATGCAGTTTTCAGAAAATATATTTATATAAAAAAAGCTATTATAAAAATCTACCTTAAATCATACCCATCATACATTATTTCTAAGCATAGACTTTAAGAGGTAAGACTGCTGTGGTAACCCTTTTAAATTAGTCCTAAACCAGAGTATTTATTTTCCCACCAGCATGCGAATAAGCATAGAAATTGAACAAGTATGGTTTTGGTAAACACTTCATGCTGATTTAAGTGAGAAAGATAAGGGACAAAGAGATTCTTCAAAGCACTACTCAGATTTGGTAAAAAAGGGCCCACCCGGTCCCACAGCTGCATAAGTATAGCAGACTGAACCCTGTTAAGGGAATATAAACTATTGGAGCATATTGGGTTTTGAGAATTTATCTAGAAATATTTTACTATGAATTCCTACCAGTTCCTGTGCAGACTAAGGTACCAAACAGAAGAGGTATGAACTAGTCTAATCCATAATAATATTGGGTTTTATTACTCTGTTCTGATAACCTTATGATAGCTCTCTTCCACCAGCATACAGACCACAGCCAGTCTTACACTATTACTTAGATCTGAGCCTGAACTTGTAGCTAAGACTGGACCACCAGATTTTGGTGGAAGCACACTGTCAGAGTTATCTATTGATTTTCAAGTACAAGAAACTTCAGCAATAGCTGAGAGCTTATAGTTTGTCACTTGCCAATTTTGATTGATGGCCAAAAAGATGGGAATTTCTTTTTATTTCTGTTTCAAGCCAAATATCCAGACACTCATTTCCATTAGAAAGCAGCAACTAACAGCACCACCCTAGCTGAATTCAGTGCCAGCAACTGAATTCTTGACTGGATTGCACTCTGCAATGATGGAAGCCACCCTGTTTGACTTTGCATCATTACACAGGGAGGCATTTATAGAATCAGAAAATGGATTTGCCTAGGGTATAGCAGAGTACATCACCAGTTTCTAAGAAACTGGCTGCTTACCACCTCCTGGTTGAGAAGCCCTATGACCCAATGTGCAAGATCAGAGAACCAGGGTCTTGGTCTCAGGCCTTGGTTAAGAGAAACACTGAAAGGCAGGATTCTGGATAGTAATTAAAAATAACATAAGAAAAGATTAATTTAGAGCCTAAGCAGTACATTCAGTTAATTGTAACTCTGCCTGTGGTTCCACTATTGCTTTTCAAACACAAACAGGTATTTCCTTTCTTGCTTACGCTGCATAAGAACGGGGCTAGGGACACCAGTGTACAAGTGAAAAGAACCTTTCTGAGCTGTTTGAAGTCGGGTTATTGTACGTAAACCACACAGCACATTCCTACCTCAAAGAAATGTCAAAAAACTATCACTGATTTCTAAGGCATAGGTGCCATTCACTATATTGAGATTGCCCACCTTGCTCTTCTGAGCCCCACAGAAACTGTGTAATAACTGCAACTAAGTATTTCCCCCTTACTACCCCCTCCAAACAAATAATCAGTTTCCACTATAACCTTTGAGAATTTTTCACATCTTTATACTCTTCCATGTGCAAACCAAAATGAGCTATTACATTTTGAGAAGCTTGTAGAACACGAAATTACTAGAAACTTCGCAAAATCAGAACTAAATATTTCTTTCATTTCTTTCAGAACTACAAGTTACATTTTTCTTTGCTGACTTCTTAAGCAGAAACTGTGTCTATTTCTACATATCTCATATGCAATTGTCTTTCTAGATTGCCACATTCCTCCCATTAAGCTGTAGTAAAGACAGAATGTACAAACAACATTCCATCTCTAGCTATTTCCTGTCTCTCTTCGACTTGCAAAACTTGTAACTGCAAAATTAGTTTATATTTCTTCCACTTACACCTGATCAGTAGACTAGTAAGAATTCAAAAAGGTTTAGGCATTCATAGAGACAACTGGAACACTTACAGTTCCACCTGAGAATAAGAAGCCATAATCGGCTCAACATATTGTGTGTTCAACATAATTCTGTATTCCACAATTATCAAAAATGCTCCTTCAAAAGCATTTGGTAAAGCAAGATAAAGTCTTTATCATCCTACTGGATCTAAATGTGATATCTGATATGACTGGTTAACAAGTCACTATTCCAAGAAACTACAAAGATGAAAAGAGTTCTTCATAATGGCTCAGATACTGAAAAGGCTCAGAATAAAACCAGTGTGCTTGTATGTGATAAATTCAGAATGGAAAAATACACTCAATTCCTCCTACAGTACCTTCCATGATCTTCAGCAACTTCTTCAGGCTGCCAAACTGATCCTTGGTCTCCAGTCTCTTTGTTTCCCCACTGCTTTTTTTTTTTTATTTAAATCTCATAATAATATTTTGCCGTGTCTTAACATGTAGACTTGGTATGAATAAGTCTGGCCTGGTACCGTACATTCAACCAGTAATGAAAGCTCAGATATGACCATGCTTAAGGTAGCAAAAAAATCTGGCACCCAACCACTGACAGAAGTCAAATCTACCACTCTGAGGTGGTATCTCTTCCCAGGACTGCCTACCATCTTTACATAATCTATGCAGCACATGCTGCATAAAAGAATCAGCCTTAGCTGCTTCAGAAACTTCCAGCCATTCTCTCAATGAAACAAACCATGATAACCATATTCTACAGAAAGAGCAGGTAGGAAAGAGATTTCACCTTGCACAAAACCTGCATAGTAACTACACAACTTCACTTTTACAAGACTTAGGCAGATAGCTGATTTTATGACATTTAGCTGCAAATGCAAAACTGATTTCATCATCTCAGTCACTCTGCCAGCATATGAACAAAGAATAATAATACAAAAAGAAACTCCTTTAAATACAGACTTCTACTGGAATATAGGTTTTTCATTAATCAAATGCCTCTGAAATAATTAAAATAGTAATCTGCTATAGTGAAAGGACCATGTAAATACTTATATTTCCCTTTTCACACCTCTCATAGAAAAAATTACTATCAAGTCAGTGCCAACAAGCTCCAAATTTCACATGACACTCACTTCAAACTTTACCAAAGGACCCAGAAGACCACACTGTGTTGATTTACTTACTACAGGCATAATAATATTGGAGTAAACTGTGCATCCCTATTTTATACAATTCTGACTTTAATTTTCAAATGCAATCTTAAATATGCTCACAGACAATTCATCACACCCTACCTACAGCAAAATGTTAAAATCTAAACTCAACAGAAAACTTCTGTAATTGTTATGCAACCATTTAAAACAAAATACAAGTTCACCAAGGTAAAGGAAATTACTAACAGTTTGTGAGAGTCTCCTAACCCCCAACACAGTAATATAAAATGAGGAGACCCGAAAATTATTTTTGCAGTCCTGTCTAAGAACATTATATATCATGCACAATAAAGCTAATTCACTGCCTTTCACTTCAAGGAGTTCCTTGTTTCAACATCTGCTGGCATTTCAATCCTACCTTCAGGATATTTCAGCTGTCAGTACATTTCTGTAAAGTGATACAAAGACATAACAGTTCTGACAGGGCAACCCTAAAGATGATTTGACGAACTTTTGTGAACTTTAGAAGCCATAGTGGCTAGAGATATTGTGTTTTAGACTACATTAGGTTACAAATGCCTTACCTCTTGATGGAAGCAGTATAATACACGTAAGTAATAAGGAAAACAAAAGGCATATAACCACGCCAAATATGATTTTTAGTCGGGTCTGCAGGACAGAAACAAACAATAATTACATTTCTAATATTGCCTGAAGCACACTTCTATGGCTTCTAAATAATTAAATCCTCCCACTCTTAACTGCTGTAATTTGTCCAAGCAACAAGCAGAAATGTCCTTGCAGTACATTTGAAAAGACTTCCCTTTCCTTTTTCTCTAAAAGAAGTACTTTCACATCAGAGCCTGGCATTGTGCAACAGCCTACAGTTTAAAACAACAGATGTAAATATTACCAAAAGCTGAATTCAGCAGCATACAGACCTTCATTTTCCTGCTGTATTCTAAAAGAATGTGAAGTCTCTCTTCTGGGTGTTGGTCAGTGGATCCAGAAGAATTTGAAAAGGCAGTGTCTGTTTTCACAGTTGGCGGCCAAACCTCTGGCAGACTTTTTTTTTTTTTTTTTCCCCCCTCTTTTGAAAACTGTGCCAAATTTCAAAGGGTTTTCATAAAATTAGAAACACTCTTTTGGGTAAGTTTGTGTACCAGAAATGGACAGTGGGTGGCTATAGGGGTGGTGATTATATACTTCCTATCAGTATGAGCCGTAACCAACATCTGCTTACACTAACTTAAGGGGTTTATGACTCAACAGTTACTTGATACATACTGGTTTTCTCTGAAAAGTATCTGCTGTGTATTTTGGCAATCCTCATATTCTCCAGACATAGTCATGACCTTATTTCTATTCTCTACAGAAAAATTAAAAGAAAATCCAATAGCTTTTTTTGTTTATATATAATTTGTTTACTCTCTGAAATAACAAATGACGGCATAAGACTGCAAAACAAGAAGCAGAAATAGATATAATTTAATATCTTCCACATGTGAGAATTACTTTTTTCCTCAGAAAACTATCAACTTCTATAGGCTATGTAAGAGAGCTTAGAGACGTTAACTATCTACAGTGCAGCCCAGTGCAAATTCTGAAATACTGGTTAAACCACCAGCTGCACATATTTTACTTAGCTTACTGAAATCAGGTCAACCAAAAACGGAGAAAACGTCTCTTCAGACTGCAGCGTCAAGTTACAGAAAAGACTGCTCGGCAGAGAGAGAAATACTCGAGAAGGGAAGTGAAAGTATGCCGTGCTCTATAAACTGACTTTACACAGATATTCTTACTACTGGCAGCTCAAGAGCCGCTCTAGGCAGCGCCTGGGACAGGGGGAGCCGCGCCTCGCCGTTCCCGTTCCCCTGAGGCGGGTGTGGGCACCGCGCCGAGCGGGGGAGTAACGGCCGGAGGGGAGCGGGCAGCGGGAAGT